GGGAAAGGTTGCCAAGCTCTGGTCTCCATGGCTAAGTCCCACCAGAGCAGAAACCATGTTCCTCTGTGAGATCACTGGGCTGGTAAGAGGCCCAAACACCCCGACAATGGAACGTGTACAGGTAGGTAGTCAGGATCTGGCAAACGAGGAATTCCTCCTGAGAATAAAAGCAATGCCCATGCCCCTGGGCGAGCTCAGTGTCCAGCAGATTTCTGAACAACGGACTCTACCACTGCCGTGCTGTGTGGCCTGTGGAACATTCTTGACCTCTCTGAGGCTCATTTGTCTTAGTTGGCAAATGGATGCAATAATATTTACTCTGCAGGGCAGTTAGGAGGATTTGACATACTAATTTAAGTAAACACTGTGGCTGGCAGATACTGGAGATTCTGCTGGGCCTGACTCCATACATGGGTCCCCATCAGAAATGACAGGCCCTTTGGGTCCTGTATCTGTTTGTATTTGCAGCTTATGTGGCTGCACAGAGGACTGATGAGGGCCTTGGGGTGCTGGGTAGCAACAGAGTGTGGAGATTGAAGTATTTAGAATCTGTACACCTGTGTTTAGATCTCTGTCCTGCTCCTCACTGAGCCAGGTAATCTTAAACCTGTCGGTTCACCTCGCCATTCTTTCTTTCCTCCTCTGGAAAATGAAAGGAAGATAGAAGCTTCTTTGTAGAACAGTAATAAATATGAAATGCAATCATGTATGTGGAGTACTTAGAGCAGGACCCTGAAGTCAGTAATAGTAAACAGTCAGCATTTGATAAGCGTTAACTGTTACAACCTCCCATAGGACTGCTTTTGGTAGATACTACTTTTCTCTGAGTCTTCGTGGACTTTGGGTATTTCTGGCCCGTCACGAACCCTACAATGGGGACTGGAGAGTCTGAGAAGACCTCTTTCCAGTCTCATTGAAATGACAAACGCTATAAAAACCAAAGGCCTAGCACAACAAACCAGCCAGACTACACTCCTGGCACGAGGGGCAAAGAGTGTCTTTGAAAATGTGCCTTTTCCTGGGGAAAACCTCTAATTGGACAATTGTAGGTCTTCTGGCTTTATGCAGACTTTATGACTTCGCAAGCTCTTACACTGGGAAATTTATGAATGGGATTTATTTATTTCCGAGGCACTCTGACTCATGCTGTTGACCCAACTGGGAAGCTGAGCTTCCATTACTTGCATTTCTGTCTGCCAGGTGGTTGTCACTCTGCCTGCTCCCCGAGAGAGCTACAACTCCTTGGTACTGAAAGTCAGACACAGGGCTTCTGGCTGTGTCAAAGATCGTCCCGCACCCACATTGATTTTCTGGAAAAGGAACATGGTGCTTGGGAATTTCTCGGGGAAACATTGCTACTTTCTATCAAGCTTTCAAAGTTTGTTTCATCAGAGCTTTGTAGTCCCTCTCATAGAAACTTCTGAGCTGAAGGCGCCTGACTTCGAGGAAGGGCTGCTTCCTGGCTGATGAATATGTATTTCCTTGGGGTTTCCAAAACCAAGAACTCTTTTTGAGGGTGACAGTGGAACTACAACAACGTGTCTAGACCAGTGTAGCAATTTGACTGACTTCACATAGATTGTGTGTGACTGACTTCACATAGATAGTTAGGGTAATGGATGCTTCCACAGCAAAAAGATCCTGAAATGTATAAAGCTTCAAACACAATAGACATTCGCTTGTCATTCACATGTGAGTCTAAGGCTGACACTTCTAGTCAGCAGATGGCTTTGCTCCACCCAATTATTCAGGAAGCCAGGCTTAGTCAGTCTTATGGCTTCACTGTACTAAGGAAGGGAGAACTTGGGTTTTGTAACATAGTTAGCTAAGAAAGGGAAATGTACCCAAAATGAGGTTTATGAAGGATTAAAGGTAATATGCAGAGAGACAGCCATGGGATCTAGCATCCGGTTGACCATGAGGACTGTTACTACCTTTGTACATCCCCAGAAATTACAGCAGCGTTAAGAGCATAGCAGGTGCTCAGTAAATGCTTGCACAGGGAACGAATGACTCTTCTCTCAGTTCTACTCTCTTGTTCCCTGGCCTGAGCTACTTGATAGAAAAGCCACATTCCTGCTCAACTATTTCAGGCCACTTCTAAGGTGTCCCTGTTGAGCCCAGAATGCAAAGTTGGTCAGCTGTTCCTCCCAAAACTCCAAGTAATTTTAGCTATATATCCAATTTACAATTTGCTTTTATTAAAGAACAATTTAAATTTACATGCATTGGAGGCTCTATGAACCAATCTGATATGTGGGATTTGTCCTCAAGGGTCCACAAGATTTCTGACTAAATGTTCCCTCAGGCACTGAGTTCCTCAGCTACAGAAATGACCTAGCTCACAAGTCAGCCCACCTGAGCTTGGCTGCTTGAAGCTGGCTTCTAGTGGAAAGCATGCTGTGATCGATTAGCAATGTCTGCCGTAGGCAAGGGGCAGGGCAATAGTAAGCAAAGTCCTGCCAGTCTGGCTGGATCTTATCAAATCTAAGATCTTCATACACTGTATGTAGGGGTAAGGCCCAAAGAAAAATGGTAGCAACTGCCACCTGAGATTTCCACTGGAGGGCCTCAGGAGGTAGATGGAGACCGAATGAAGAAAAGCCAGTGGTAGGTAGATGGTTTGTTAGAAAATTTTCTTGGAAACAGAGAATTTAAAACTGAAATAACCAAAAACTGGTCAACAGTGATTGCAGCCGCCTTCGAGAGGAAGAAGTGGAGGCAGAGCCTGGAGTGCGATGTGGTTGGGAACTCAGGATGCGCCAGCTTCCCACTGGGCCTGGTCAGCACCATTTGTGCCCTGGCTTCTCCCCAATCCCCACCTGTGCCTCCCTGTGCTGGCTGCTGGGTCCAGAGACACACAAGGCACAGTCCCTACCCAGCTGCGCTCACAGGAGGGAAGGCCTGTCGCTCCTGGGTTCTAAGATGACATTGATTACTAAACCCTTTGTCAGTTCAACAGCAACTTTTCAAGGAGCAAGAAACACTCCCAAAGAGACCACCTGCGTGTGTTCTAATCAAGGATACGAAGTAACCGCCCAGGTCATGGCTATAGTACAGGGTGAGCCGCGCTGTGCTCTGGACAGGGGACATCTGAGGAGGTGGCCCACAAGCAGACCAGGATGGGCATTCCCAGCAGAGAGAACGCAAGGCAAAGGGACAGGTCAGGCACACGTGTGCAAAAATGAGAGTGGGAAAGTGAGGCTGGACAGACTCACAGCTGTCCAGGGCTCGGCATCAAAGCCAGGATGGTAATAAGTCCCCAAGCCGGGAGAGCCCTGGTGTTCCGAGCGAGGGTCTTGAGCAGATCCACCCTTGCAGCTCCGTCTCCTCGTCTGCTCCCAGCGAGGGAGCACAGATGCTCAGTGAGCGAGGTCTATTTAAAGCTGCTGTGAGTCTATTCTAGAAGGCTCATGAAGGGAGGAGGAGGGAGGGAAGGGAAGGGGGTTTCAGGAAGAGCACAGAGCGGGAAGCGGGAGGACAGGTCCAGCCTGGCTCTGCCCGAGTCCCCTGTGGAGCCTGGGCGAGTCCTGGCCTCTCTCTGGGACTCAGCTTCCTCCGTCCTACGTGGTGGTAAATCGTGCGGCCTCCGGAGCCCACTGGCTGCGTTCAAAGCCAGGCTCCATCCCTCACAGTCCATATGCATGGGTCAAATCACTTCACCCTGGAGCCTGGTTTCTAATGTATAAAGTGTAGATAATTATAGTAGCTACATTTTCGAGTTGCTTCAGGATTTGTTGAGCTAGTGCATGTAAAGCACTTCTAAGTGTGGCAGGTGCGTGCTAAACTACAAAAAAGCTATTTTTAGTAAAAGATACTAAAAATGAGCTACTTTTCAAAAACTATCATTGTTAAATGATGAAAATGTAAATAGGAGAACTTGCCCCCACTATTCGTGTAACTTCTGTGTGTAAAGCTGGTCACACTGGCCTCTCCAGTGAAGCAGTTGGACACCCTGACCCTCTGCCTGAGTGTCCCCCTCCCGGGGTGGCCCTGTGTTCCCCCTGAGCACTTACAAGAACCCCGAGGCTCCAGTAAAGTCAGGTAACAAGCAGTAGTCCCAGAGGATGCCTCAGCTTCCCCTCGGTCGTTTCTTTGAATCCAATTCTCCTCCCAAAGTCTGAGCATACACCTGGAAAAATTGTCTTTATCAGCACAAAATCTGCTTTCCAAGAGCATCAGCTGAGCCAGGCCCAGGGTTACAGCGTGGCAAAAGCAGATTGAAGTGGACATGGGCAGGTAGTTTCTCACGTCAGTAAATTTTGTTAAATTTTATTTTTATTCACGCGTTTGTAGCACATAATGATCGCATCACTGTGGGGAGGTGGTCTACGTACGTCATGCATCTTAATTCTCCTTTCATCCCCTTCTCTCCATCTCTTGGTTCCTTCCCATTTATAAAAGATTTACTGCCCTCTTTCCTATTATCTATCTTTCATTTTGCTTTAATGCATTTACACTTTGGGTTTCTCATATGAGAGAAACCATACGCTACGGAAACTTGTGTGTCTGATTTATTTTACTTAGCGTTATGGTCTCAAGGTGCAACCATTATGCTACAAGTGACGAGCACATGAATTATGATTTAAGGAATTTTACGTGGTGGGATTCACCCCCCTGCCAGTCAGGGTACCTCAGCTCCTCCAAACTGAATCAGAGTTTACTACACTGAGCGCTGAGTACCGGCAGAAGCCAGGCCATCTTGGCAGTTTCTTTGGCGGGTTCCATGTATCACTGTCTAAAGACAAAAATGCTGGTGACATCCGTCCAAGTTGCCCACCCGCGCCCTGGAGTCTTTGGAATCTAGTTTCTTTGAATCATTCACTCTAGAAAGCACATAGCTATTCTGGCTAAGGAGTAAACATGTATTTTTCCTCCATGTTTTTCTTTTTTTTATTATTTTAAAAATAAAAGGAGAAAAATATTAACAGACAGACAACATTTTACAAAATAGCAAAGGAACAGTACAGACAGTACGGAGTTACAAAGTGGTAGGGAATTAACAATGCTTGTTGTATTGCACACTGATATCTTCAAAGTGGCTTCTCACGTCCTCCATGTTTTTCTGATAGTGAAGTTGTGCTATAAGTTTCACTCATAACCTCTTAAAAAATCACAGGCCTCCTGGTCACCCGTGCGGCGCCTTTACTGTGACAGGAGTAAGTCCTGTTTGGTTGCTACTGCAGGTGTCGGAGGCTCCAGTGGGCAAAAGCGGGGAGATCAAGCCTGGCTGCTGCACTGGCAGAAGACCGGAGGCTGGGGGAATTGTTGGCCTGGGGTTCTGGAATCAGAGAAGCTGCAGAGCCTGATGCTGGCATCTGGCGGGGAGCCTGGTGCTGTGTCATCCATGGCAGGAAGTGAAAAGGTGAAAGAGGTCACCAGGAGGCCAGATTGGCCTCTGTAACAAACCCAACCTCTCAATAGCCAGCGCGCTCCCAAGACGAGGTCAGTCCATCCCCAACTCCGTGACATTGAGGATTAAGTTTTGGACACATGAATTCTGGAGGACACCAGTCCCCTGTCACTTAGAGCCTGTCTTCATCAACTGCCCTGTGCCCTTCATCTGTATGTGCCTCTACTTACAGAAGCTACTCCAGCCACCTCAGCCCGGTCACTGTCCTCTGAGCGCTCCTCCCAGGTTCCTACGACCTGCACCAGTGCCCCTTACAAACCTACTGAATTCCTACGTGTTCTCCCACACCGCCCAAACACCACCTCCTCCAGGAAGCCTGCCTGGACCCCTCCATGTACTGCCCCCTTCCCTGTTCTCCCACAGAACTTACACAGTGCGTGTGACATCCGTGTAGGTCTGAAGTAGATCTTGTTTGCCCCTATTATGTTAGAAAGCTCAGGGAGGGCAAAGCTTTCTTAATCTTACTTGTCTTCATACTTGAATGTATAAGTTCAATTCCTAGGCATTTCTGAGTGTGCCGATGTAGGTAATTTACCTGGTAGGTCTGAGTCTCAGCATTCCTGCCTTTAAAGTGCAGATAAAACCCTCTTTTCTAACAAGTTAATCATGTGCATTCCATCAGATGACTTGTATGAAGAAAATTAAAACAAAATAATAATGACAAGAATTGCCATTGATCAACTGCTCGTCAAGTCATACATTCTTCACAAGCAGTTCATGTAAAACACTCTTGAGGGCTGGGGTGAAACTCAGTGATGGAGTGTTTGCCCAGCATACATGAGGCCTTGGGTATGCTCTCCAAATCCTGCAAAAAAGGAAAAAAAAAAATTCTTTTGAAAGTTTTGAAATAATTGTACAGGACCTTGCAAAGATAGTACAGAGAGATCCCATGTAACTTTCACCCAGTTTCCCCAGCGGTGGCAGCTGACATAATTCCGGTCAGTATCAAAAGCAGGAAAGCAGCATGGCACGACGACTAAGTATCATTCTGCACCATCTGTCGCTTGTTAGGTTAATGCAAACCCTGACACAGCCAAGATGCAGAATGGTTCTGTCCCAAGTCCCCCTGGGCTGGCCCCTCTGGTCACACCCAGCCTTCTCCTCCCTACCACCCCTCACTCCCAGCAACCATGAGATGCTTTCCATCTGCACAGGTTTATTGTTTCAATAAGGCTATCGAAAGGGCTTGGCCTTTAAAGATTAGCATTCACAACTCAGCACAAGGCCTTTGTAACCCACTCCAGTTGGGTATGGATGGTCCTTTGCTGGGTTACTGCCGAGCACTGATCCCTGCATGTAGTTATCCCTCTGCCTTCTCCTGGGATTGGTGAGACCTCCCACAGCTCTGAGCTCAAACCCCTTATGTAACTGCAGAGAGTAGCTGCAAGTCACCTATACGCATCCTCCTGCACACATTCAATACAGACATGGTTATTTTTTAATATTTTCAATACCAAGTAGATTGAATCTTTGGATACAGAGCCTCTGGGTATGTTGTCGAGCCAACTCTACATCCATACACCACGACTAAACCATTGAAAGACATCTGGGTTCTCTCTAGGTTTTGCCTATTACATAGAAAGTGGCTATAAACATTTGTGTGTAAGTTTTTATGTGAATGTAAGTCTTCATTTCTCGGGGACAAATGCCCAGCAGAGCCATTATTGGGTTATATGGTAACTCTATTTTTAGTTTTTTTAAGAGTCAAACTATCTTCCAGAATAGCTGGACCATTTTAGACATCCACCAGCAATGCGTGAGTGGCTCAATTTCTCCACATCTCTGCCAGCATCTGGTGCTGACACTATTTTTCATTTTAGCTGTTCTAATAGGTGTGTGCAACACTTCACGGAGGTCTTACTTTGTGTTTCCCCTGAAGTGTTGAGTGTGTTTTTACTGCCATCTGTCTATTCTCTTTGATAAAATGTCTCTGTCATTTGCCAGTCTTCTAATGGAAATAATTATTCATGTTTTTCAATGTGGTATAGAGGGTTCTTTATAGGTGCTTGTTTGGGTTACTTTTCTCTCGTTGCTGGGACAATGCCTGATGCCCAGAATTAAGGAAGGAAAGGTTTTTTAGCTCACAGTTTGTGGAGGTTTAAGTCCATACTTGGCTGGCTCCAAGACACATGGCATGGGGCAACTGTTCATGGCAGTGGAAAACAGCAAAAGCAACAAGAGCAGGAAGCAGGAGTGGCGGCAAGCAGCCTCTTTCTCTCCCTTACATGTGCAAACTACCTGCCACAGGGGCAGGTGTAGCACTCACACCCATAAATCAATCATAAACTCTAGAAGCCCACCCCATGACTGCATGTGTCTTTGGGGGGACACCCAGACATAAGCCATAACAATGCTAGACAGGAGTCCTTTGCCAGCTCTGAGGCTTGTACATTTCGATTTTCTAACCCCCAGACCCATGAAGAAGATGTTTAGGATTATGTGAATGTAATGGACGAGGAAGCTGAGGCACTGAGAGCCTCGAACTGGGTGACACACAGCAGATGTTCAGGAGAGAATCCCAGTAAGTTTTATGCAGGCTGAGCTCAGACCAAGGGCGCACAGAACTCAGGGAACCGTGGGGAAATGGTGGAGGTGCTGGGGATGAGAGTGGAGTGATGGCAGTCAAGGCCATCAGTGAGCTCAGGGACTCATCCCAGCACATCAGCCTGTTAAACAGGAGAAGTTGAGACACGAGCATTAGCACAGATCCCTGTCTGTCTGGAAGTCCCATAAAATCATCCCTTCTTTTCTCCCATGTCCCACCTTCCTCTGGTGTCGTGCGGGTTTAATGCACAGCTCGTCCATGTCTGCTTTGGGGCTTTACTTTGGGAGTGGAATTGCTCCCAGATGCTCCTTCTCAGAGCACGGGAGGTGCCCTGCTGTCCTGAGAAGCACAGCGCCAGGAGTAGAAATGCCAGGTGCTGGCCCCAGTGTGGTAGGAACAGTTGGGAAACTAGTGCTTTACTTCCCTGGATTTGCCTTCTTCTCATCTGTGAAATGGGAATAACAACAGTCACTAACAGGCAGAAGCTGGGGTAGGTTATATGGAAGGGAGAGTTTTGCTATGCATCCTCCCATTCCAGCTACGTCCCCTTCAGTAAGGTGCCTCAGTTTCCTCCTCTGGGAAATGGGGCCCATCAGTCTACCTCAGAGGCTTGGAGCAAGGACTAACTGAGATGATGCCCCTCAAGTTGCACAATCCCTCCTTGGGATGAGCACAATTAATAACTAACGCTTGCTGAGCACCCACTTTGTGTCAGGGTCTGTCTTAGTTAAGTTCACCCCAAAGATTAGACACCAAGCCAGGGACGTGGGGGCTAGAAGTTTATCTGTGAGAGTTTTCCAGGAAGCAAGAGGAAGCAGTGAGGAAGTGGTCAAGTGGGCTTGATTGCACTGTGCCTCAGCGGACAGAGCACAGCTCTGACACTCACAGTGGGCGGGGCCACGGTGTCCAAGGACATCCCCCACTCTTCGCAGGCGAAGGGGTATTCATTCCTCCAAGTTTGGGCCCTGCACTTGGCTGGGTATCTTCCCAGGTCCAGAGAGCACCCTCAGGGGAGACTTGGGAAGGCCTTGGCGGGAAGCTGGGCTGTCTCTGGGGACTCAGGGTTGGCTGAGGTTGAAGTAGCCACCATTATGCTGCCTTAAGGGTCTTTAACTCTTACTCTGTGCAAGCCAGCTATGAGACAGACATGATTTTTTTTTTTTTTTTTTTTTTTTGGTTTTCTCCGGTACTGGGAACCGAACTCACTACCTTGCGCTTGCCAGGCAGGCGCTTTGCCGCTGAGCTAAATCCCCAGACCCTGAGACAGACATGATTATTATACCCACTTTCTGGGTGAGAAATTGAGGCACAGGGAGTTTTTTGTTTGTTTGTTCACCACCTGACCAAGGTTGTATAACTTGTCAGGTTTCCAAATCTGCATTTTTAAAATTTTTTTTTTACTTTTTTTTTTTAGTTTTTTGAGGTAGGATCTCAGTATGTAGTTCAGGCTGGCCTTGAACTCACTATGTAGCCAAGGCTGGCCTCAAACTCACAGAAATCCTCCTACTTCAGCCTCCTGAGTTCTAGGATTACAGGTATGTGACACCTCACCTTGCCCAATCTGCACGTTTTTAACCAGTGGCTTTCAAGAATTATTTTTAACATAGTCCTCAGTTTAAAAAAAAAATGGACATTCTGATCCAGCTCCCAAACGCCCACACACCTACACTAAAGAAATAAATCTTTCATAAAACAGTGTTCCTCCTTGCCGAAGATGATGCACCCTAAAATTCCCTCTTTTGTGAAACCATGTTACGTTTTACAGTGGTATTAGTCACGCACTCAGCTGTTTTCATAACCCAGACACGGGCAGCAAGCCACTGTGTGGGGAGAGGCGGGCCTCCGGCATCCCCCTTTGTAGGACAGTGCTGATGATGGTGACAGTGTCGTGGGGCCGGCATTGGGGCTGGTACCTGACAGGTGCCCAGAGAAGATCGTCCTTCCTGGCTGGCCACCTTGCTTGTCCTTCATGGCCGCCCAGTGCCCCGAGAATCTGCCCCCTGCACTCCCACGCTGACCCTGCAGTGCCTCCCAGGGGTTTCCCACTCTGGCCCTGACTTGCCCGCGGTGGATCTGCCCGCCTCCTTCCTGGGGGCTGGCACCCGCCTGGGCTGTCTCTTTCAAGTGGCCTGCTCTTCCTCGGGAGGCGAGGTTGTGCCCTGTCCCCTGGTGCTGGCTCTTCCTCCCCCGGATCTTTCTGTGCAAAGATTGTTCCTCTAATCAGGATGGAGACGCAACTCATTACAAGCTGGTGAGGCAACGGCTCTGTGCTCCAAGCCGAGACAGGCTGTCTGGGAGCCTGGCCAGCCTCCCACTGCCCCGGACACCAGGGCGGCGGCCTCCGAGTGCAGCCAGCCTGCTGGGTTTTTTTTTGCCCCTTCCCAAGGGACACGGGCAGACAGACACTGTTTGCTGAGACTTCTACAGCTTTCCCTGTGGCAAAAACTCACCCATGCCCAGACAATGGAGTTCAGCAAACCTCAGGGCTGCCTCTCAGAGCACCTGCATAGTGCAGAGAACCACAGCCAGCCTTTGTGGTGCTGACAGGCACGTGCAGTGTGTTCTGTTGTCTTCACCACACACCCACAAGGCAGGACTTGGTGGCCCCACTTTACAGATGCAGAAACTAAGGCTCAGAACGGTTCAGTAAAGTGAGAAGCTACCAGACAGCTAGAAAGCGGGCTCAGCCAGCCTGGCCCACTGATGCCACCGCCCGCCTCACACATTCTGAGCCATACGTCCCTCCTCTGTAAATCGGTTCCCAGCAGCGCCTCCTTGCCCAGGCTGTTAGGAAGAGTGAATGAAATAATGTGTATGAATGCATCTCCCAGGGCACCTGACACCTAAGAGGTGCGCAGTAAATCCATTTGGAAAAGAGTCCACTCAGCTCTTTTCCACCGACTGGACAGTGTCCATGGCCATTCACCACCGCATGACATCGACATCCGGAAGAGGGTGACTGTCAATCTGGAAGCTTCCACGTACACCAGGGCTTCTCACGATTGTGCCTGTGTGGCCCCGATGCCTCCTCACACTTACTTCCCTGAGCTGCAATCTCAGCTCTGCCTGACATCTCTCAGAGAAAACCGCTTCTCTCCTCAGTGCAGATGCCTCCGCCTGGACAGGGGAAATAGCCATGTGGCGGCTGCAGAGCCTGGTGTGGAAATCCTCGTTAGCTGCAGTTTAATTACTGCCTGCAGTATAGGTTTTTAATAACAGTAAGTCCCAATTAGTTGCTTGTTACTTCAGAAATAATTACT